AGGGGCAAAATCGTCCAACTTTTTCTGTAAAATCTGAAACAGAAAACAAACGACATCAGTGCGTTCAGGACGTCAAAATAAGTAAACTGCCCGAAAAGAGCTCGCCGGAGGTTCAGCCACGCGCCGCCGTCGGTCACGCGCCCCACCATAGGGTGCGCCTCCTCCTGTTGGTCATGGTTCCATGGTCCATTTCGCCGGAAAGTCAATAGGTTGGCCGGAAATCAAGTTTTCAGATTCGGTCAGAAAGTGGTAATGGCGATTTCCTTGCTGGTTTTTGATCGATTTTGGACTAATATCACTCCTCCTAGCTCTGATACCAGTTTGTTGGGAATCCTAGGAGTTCAATCAACCAAAACATCAAACAATAGAAGAAATTCTAAGGCAAAACAATGAAAAAAGGGGTGGAAAAATACAACCTGTGTTCGGCCGGAATTTGGACAGATTTTTCTCCTTCCTTGCGGCTGCTTTCTTCCCTTCTAATGGCTGTTTTTCAGGCTCAGGAACAGCCTTCCATGACTTGCAAATTACCTTCCAAGAGAGAGGGGAAAACCAATGAAGAACCACCACCCTTTGTTGGAAAATCGATCCTGACCGAGAGCTCCCCTTTGAAATGGCAGAGAGAGTTTACATAAGAAGGGGAAGGAAGTAAAGACCATGCCTCTGCCAAAAAACGTGGGAAGACCTTATTGTGTCAACATCAATACCATCAAGTCACAACATCTCTCCCAAGATTAAATCTCGGCCGTCGATCTTCATCCAATGGTCCACAAAAAACTGAATAGATGGTGTTAGGTGAACCATAGTCTCACATTATGATTCAACAATGAGTTTGAGCTGGTGATTGAAAAAGCTTACGAGGATAATTGTTCCATTTGGGCATGGACTGAATTGGTTTTAACTTTTTAAGTGGAACTATTTCATTCTTTATCTACTGTGGGAATCAAATCCAAATTGGACCAGGATCGACTGGCATTAAGAGAAACTTAATGAACCAAACTTGAATTCCATGGATATAGGATGCACTGCAAACTATTAAATCAACACGAAGATGAATAAACGTGGATTTAAATTGTAGTGTATATAGCATATACATGACTTATATTTCTTGAAAAGCACGCATCTATCTAATCACATAAAAATAAAATTAGTTCTACGTATCTTTCAGTATTTCTGCACATTGAAATATGTTGAAATGAAGCAATTATATACGTGTGGCCCATTTGATTCTCATTTTTATCAAAATATATTTTTCTCTCTTCTTTTTAACGACACATTCTTCATTAAAATAATATTACATGTAAGTAAAAAAAAATTCTTTATTTTTAATCCACACATTCTCCATCAATATATTATTTTAAAATTCATTTTTTTCATAAAAATAGGTGTCAAACACCCACAGTAATTAAAACATACAAGTAAAATTCCAAAAATAAGTTCCAGAATTTCAGAATATAATTCTTCATGATCATGATCCCACAGCATAACTTCAACAAAAAAGAGACCTCAAAATTAATTAATTTTTTTTTTCCTTGGGGGGTGCATTAGTAAAGCTCAAAATTTCCCAATCGAACAATAAACTATTAAACCTTACACAACATAAAGGAGGGAAATTTTGAATTAGTACAGTGACAATAAGCTGAATATCACGTTCCCTACCTCCTATTGCATGTTTGAGTAGATTAGATGACACTAGATGGTGTTCATTATACTCTTCAATATGATCTAATACTGGATACTAAACACGCATTTACTATCTTCCATTTTGGAGTGAAAGCTGGTCAGTAGCTAATTTCTCAGATTCTATATCTTGCCCTCCCCATTTTCATATGAGCTCTGTCGTTTGCTCCACCTGCAGATATAGTTTCACGATATAATTCCAACGGCATGGTAACTCTTGTAATGATAAATTTCACAATCAATAATAAAATCAAGAAATGTAGACTAATGAAGTTCCAAGGATGGGGAAGGCGAGCAATGGTGTGTATATTTTGCTGCATTGCAGCATTGATCTCTCAAAAACAGAAAAACCATGACGCAAGGCCTTAAGGTTGTGTACATATTTAGTCTCACAAGACTGGACAATACAACGAACAAGATTTAGACCTTTTCCTTTTCTCAATACTGTCTGGTCCCGTGTAGCACTCCATGTGGGTTAAGGGTTAAGAACAACCTCCTTCCAATTAGTTTTGTAAAGAACTAACAAGAATAGCAATGTCTGCAAAGCTGTTCCGGCTATCATGCCACCACAAAGTTCCTACAATAGTAAAATTATAAGCATATGAAAATTAAAATAATTCGACTTTGAGTAATATTAAAGCATACAAAGGAAATTTAACCATAAGCATTAGCAACAAGATGGGAACAAATTATCTTTAAGACTTTCAGTCAATTGAACAGAAAGAATTTAATTGTGAATAAAAGTCTGATTCAGAAAACTAGTATTGAGATTCTTTGGAACATATTTCCTAATAAGATCCGGATTTTCATTGTTATGCTAGTATTAGCTCTGTTATGTACAATGGACGAGGAATATAGCATTTATCACAGGTTGAATTTTAAGTTCTGGTCATTTACCTTCACTCCCAGATTAGCAACATAACCAAGAACTTATCCAATAGGCAGACCAAAAGGGTAATAAGAGGCCAAGTTAATATAAGCAACCAGGGCTTGCCATCCACCTCCGACAGCAGCACAGGTGAAATGGTCCCCCATGAAGTTAAGGTCGGGAAGTAAATGGCTGTGCACAATATAGACTGTAAATAAATAGAAGTTCAGTCGAGTACCTGATATCACTGGCTTAAGTACAGAACCATAGTCATTCCAAGAAGGCCAGAAAGGTGGGAAACAGCCCCGTTGCATACATTTGCTGCTGGTAAAAATAATGCTGAAGTGATTACTTGCCGCCAGTATAATAATCATGCAAAGAATACTGATCAAGAGTGACTGAAAAACTGTGATGTAGACGGAATATTTGGCTGCTTGCGGTTGTGGATGTCCTAAGCCAAGCTCGTTTGAGACTCTAATACTGAAATGTGAAAGATTTGGCTGTTAGAACTTTTTATGATGGATAGACAACATCAGAGGAAACGAAACAAGATAAACAGGAATCAAGAATATAAACATATTGTCTCCAGCAGTAAAATCTCATCAAGTTTATCAGGAATAAGGCTTAATCTTCTGTTGTTTTATACGTCATTTTCACCATACAGCATACACGTCACTATCAAAATTCAACATACATAGACAGAGAAGAAAATATAAATTGCCGATATGAAGTGGTCCTTTTACCTTGTAGCAGCATTGATTCCAATGAAAATCATGGCTTCCCACCCAATGACGTTCATGCTGAAAAATAAACCATCAACTGAAAAAACTTAAGACTGGTAGAGAATGTCAAAAACTAAAAAACTCATGTTCATAACATAGATGAAGCAGTTCAACATAGTCTTTGATGAAATAATGAATCTAGACTGTATATGAGGGGGGCATGTTGAAAACCAAATTTATGTGGGCGTGCGCGTGTTCTAACAACTTAAGCATTTGGATGAGAGTTAAACACAAGGCATTAACGCTCAACTTAAGGGGGACCCTAACAAATGTCCATATCTCCTTAAAGGCGGACCCTGAAAATCCCTTCCAACCATCCTTACACCAACCAACGACTTACACAAACTGCGCAATTGCAGTGCCCCAACTCGTAAGATCATACGCTGCTGCGCTGGATGTGCCCCATCCAAATACATAAACAAAAAGCCAACGGGTGAAAACTTGCAGGACTAGTGCAAGGAATGCAAGCCATGCAAGCTCAGAAACTTTGCTCTGAGCTTGAAGAAACTTCTGAGTCGGAAATGTGACAGCAAGCAAGAACAGCTGAGGGACGATCATCAATGTGCATACTCCAGCCAGATTCGCAATTTCATCACTTTGTCCGAGGACCTTGAGGATTGGGGTTACAAATATGTAGAGTGGCAAATAGAATTATCATGAGAGTTGTATGTAAACACCAAGCATATGAACTTTTCCTGCACCAAATGCCTGCCCACATAGTGTCTCAAGGGCACTTCCCATTCCAAGCTACACGTTGCAAACGAATGTAAGACTCCGTCTATTTGATGATTATATGCAGCATATATCTCAATGACATGTTTGGTACACGCTTGAAAAGAAAGCACTAGCCAGTATTCTTGTCCATAATTTACGTACCAAACATGTCATAATAGATAAGAACAGTTAGCCAAGCCTAGGATACAGTCCACTTCAATTCCAAGACAAATAACTAGGCAATGTATTTAAAAAATATCAGAGAAAATTATGAACTAAAGGCCTTAGATAGTTGAAATTATGCCGTCTTTCACCAGTACACTCCCTTACTAGTCTATTCAATATATTACTTTTTGCTCACTTAAATAGCAAAAAACTGCCATGGTACTTCAAAAAATAATTAAATGAATCCAACGAATCTTTAATATCTTTAACGCGATCGCTTGGAGTGTTAGTATAGAAAACAAGGGCTTGAGCATTCAAGTTTTTACTGATATCTATTTATAAGAAAATTGACATGGCCCTGAGGACAAAATTGAATTTGGTCAATAAGTGAAGGAAAGCACAAAGACTAAATATTTTATATATTCAAGTTTGACGCACGTTTACACCGCTTGTCAGGGGATCAGATGCCGGTTTTGGAGCCCCAATCATGTTGATTAAGTTCGTGATTGGCTGTGGATTTTTGATGACTTCTTCAACAAAAGGTTGTAAAAAATGTGGCATATTTTGGCAGTACGACTCCATACTCATTGAAGAAGTCACATTTCAAAATATTGTTCTACAAGAATCCACTTAAAAAAGCACAACCAAACATGTTCACAATGTCCCCAAAAGTAACTTATGTACGAGAAATTCAATCCACGACAACCTTGTGATGACCCACATAACATGAAGAATGACAGAAGCAGATAAGTTTAATTAATTATTTTCACAGCCAGGGTGTTGGACCATAATATCCCCATTTTGCACGTACAACGTTTGGTACAAATTCTTTAAAATTATTTTGATCAGAAATTCATTTTCAACCTCACCGAGTCACCATCTCTCCTTAAATGATGATTTTTCTCTAATTCTTAATTATACATTCTCCTAAAAATTCACTTTCCACAAAATTTATGTCAAACATGACCCAAATACATAAATTAATGCATACTGCTTGAATTTCAAAGCACAAATTCAAGAAAAAATTTCAAGTACACTATATATTACCAAAATTAAAACAAAACAAGCCTCCAAATCAATCCCCAGAAAAGGGAAAAAAATCCAGTAATTTCTTGGTCTCTTTACAATATACCCTATCAATTACCAATATACACTTTCGGCCACCGGCATCAAAAAATTCATAACTTTGTGACTTAATCATTGGAAAATAATATTCTTTGAAAAACTCATAATTTGCCAAACAAGAATTAAAGCTCTAATACTAACCATGAATCCGAAAGAGGTGGAAATGACTGAGGTAGCAATAGAAAGAATGCTCCATATCTCCAAGATGGCCAACAAACATGGAGGTAACAGAATTGGTTCCAAATTGGCAAAGAATTTGAAAGGCCATGCCTTGAGCCCTTTAACCGGTCGGTAGTCTCCGTCGTCTCCGATCAACTGGAGCTCGCCAGAGTCGTTCCGGTCGAGCAGCGGCGCCTCCATTCAATAAAGACGAAGTAGGTAAAAGAATGCAAGATTAATGACGGAGTGAATATCTCACTCTATAAATGTAGATATATAACTGTGTATGTATAGGTGGTTTAATAAGTCTTGCGAAGCTCATGCAAGAGAGTGAAACCATAAAAGAAAAATTCGGGTAAGTTGTACCAACCCGTAGGATGCAACCCCCATTTTTCAACTGCCTCAACTTGAACTTGGGGTTGGTAGAATGGGTGGTTAAGGAAGGGACGTACCTCATATTTTCATTCAAATCATAGGATGCATCTAAACTTTTTCCCCCATTCATGAGATTTTTTAAAAATGTATTTATTGATTTAAAATTCAATAAATAAGCGGCAAAGAAAATGTTATCTTTACAATATTTATATTATAATCAAATAACAAGGCAAAAGTGTTTCAAACGATCAATTAAGTAGTACTCGTCTTGCGGTTTTGAGAATAAAATATTAATCAAATTTGAATAGTCAAAAACCGTTCTCATCCTTATGTTCTTATATTCTAATTATTCTTACCAAGCTAGTGAATATGAAGTCTTTCCTTCTGTGGGCAACTGGATTAGGGGAAGGCATAGACCTATCTCGATTGATTTACCAATGGGTTCTCTTTTTCGAAGAAGACTCTAGGAACACCTCTTGTCAAAGTTCATTCACTCTATTGAGCTTGATGGGTCAGAAGGAATCAAAAGATGCAGTACTCCAACACACTCAAAATAAAACAAGGATAAAGATATAAAGGAACTATACAAGAAAGACATTGAATCGCAAAAGAAGCCAAATTTTTTAAAGGATTCACTGCTTTTTGACTCTGTAGCTTAGAAAGAATTTAATTTCTTTTGCTAACTTCCTACCTCCGACAAAAACTTATCGCAATCAAGTTACAGCTCCGTGGGAAGATACGAGATATTGCTACACTCATTCATGTTTTATGATCGTCATGAACAACCTTCTTGTTCTATCACTATATTTTGCAAAACATAATAAAAGTTAGGATCTTATTCTTTTACCTATGGTTTGAACTTGAGTATAAAAGAAAAGCCTACTGAAAATTCTCATTTTGGTAAACTTTGAGATAAATAATAATTCCCAATGCACAAATTTTATGGAAAAGGGCATAAATGATATTTTGTATAAAACGGTCATTGTTGCATAACTTTGCGAAAGTTATAATATTTAGCCCTTGTTTAAGCCCCATTTTCTCAAAAGCTCTTTTTTTTTTTTTTTTTTTTTTTTAAACTTCTTTTCAACCATATATTCTTCAATAAAATAATTTTACACGTAAATCAATTTCTTATCATTAACAATACATTCTACAAAAAGGTTTTCAAAATGTATTTTCTTTTTTCAAAATGGGGCTCAAACAAGAGCTTAGAATGAACTCACAGTTTTAAGGGACTTTTGAAAATGTCAAGAGTCCACTCCCACCTAAATTGATGTGATTATAACTAATGATGAATAACATTATTTGTTCACAAATAACACTATTGCCTGCCTAATCATACAATGGAAACTCCAACTTCATATATAATATTGTTACTTCTAGGAATCAAATGGTCCACTAGAGCATGTTTACAACCTGGTATTGGGTAATTGAAACTTCAACTTGAAAATAGGGGAACAATACATAACTCTTATATATAAGAATTATATTTCAAAACTAACAAACTTGTCAAATTATTTCAAAATCCAAGTGATAATTCCAATAAATAATATATATATATCCCCGCCCAATTAATAGTGCCCCACGACCACCAAATTAATAATATATCAATTCCACCCAAATTAATAATACCCCACCCACCCCACCTTTAATCTCGAGATTATAACCACTCCCATCCCAACTTGCAAAAAATTTCCAAAAATTAAAAATCTTTTACGTAGATTACACCCCACCCCCGAAAACCACCCACGTCGACCCCCACCCTACCCCACCTTACCCCAACCTTTAATTATTCCCACCCAATTAATAGTATCACCCCCAACCAAATTAATAATATCCTTCAAATCCACGCAGACCCCCACATCCATCCCATCCCACGCCACTTGTGAGATTTTTTCAAAAATTGAAAACATATTCTGGAGATTACACCCCAGGCCCAGACCACTCCTATCCCTCCCCATCGCCGAAAAAATTCCAAGTCACTGTATGTAATCAAATTACTGACCTGTGTTATTTGTAATTAATTGTAATTAGGTCAATCTTAACTGTATTTGAATGTTACCAAGTCACAATTAACACATACTTCGTCACAACCAATCACATTAAACATATTCGATCACAGTCACCACAAATAAATTTGCACACATCATACATCAGTACCACAATTCACCACCATTATCCACTACTACCTTCAACTCAAATTCATGAGCATTGATGCTATCTTCACCAACCTGTGTTCTCTGTGGCTAACTGTAATCAAATATGTCTTCGGTATGACTGTATGTGGCCAATCTAATTTGTAACTTTAAGTAACCAAGTCATATATAGTTACAGTTGGAATAGAAGATATTTTGAGCTTTTGGCATTAACCTGGTGAATCGATAGAAAGGAATACCAAAATTCTCAATCAGATAATGACCACCACTGCTAATACCACAATAATCTCACCACCGCCATCAACATCCCCAAAAATCTATAGATCAGAAATGAAACATTACACCTAAAAACCAGGTACAACTGTGCCGCTGTAGCAGAACCCGCGCACAGCTGCACTACTGCCCATGGACTTACTGTTGTTGCAAGTACCATCTCGGTAGCGACGGCGACGAAGCCAGGTGCCATTGCTTGCAGCAATAACGGGGCCTTGTGCCATTGAGCGCGGCGAAATAAAGTCGCCGAGCATAGTGACACTGACAAATATGGTACAGAGCGAGGGAAGAAGACATAGAGAAGGATGAGACTGAGAAATTTTAGGGTTCGAAAATTAATGAGTTAAATGTTTCATTGGGCATTGAACTTTGTATTATGTCACGGCTTACTCACCCAACTTCCAAAAGCTTCCGAGTGGCCACTGAACTTAGGTCCGTTGCACTCCGTCGCTCACCGGACAAATTTCGTTTCTTGTTCTGTCTATGTGGAGGATGGAAAATTTACGTGGCTGTTAAATGCATCCAAGTATGCAAGGAAATGCCAACGTAGCCTCCAACTCAACAAATTGTGGTTTTCCTCTTCCAAGTGTTCAAAATCATCTTTCCACCTATTTCAAAACCATCTTCAATATCACCATCTTCATCATCAGTATTTCAAAATCATCATCTTCATCATCAGTCTCGGCATTAGAATTAGCTTTGAACTTGGGTGACACAATATTCAACTTTATAACATTTTCAGATAACTTGTCGGGGGTCAACTGAGCAGACATAATCCAAAAAGTCTTTCCACCTACCTGATCTCTCTTTCTCTTCCTCATAAAGCCCAGAATAGATGGGTTTTGACTTAAGGTTTGGGGCGTGATTTTGGGGGGATTGGATTTCGATTTTCATATTTTCCTCCAAATTGAAGAGGTTTTCATTACACAGAGAAGGGCAAAGAGAGTTCCTAGCAAAGAGGTAAATGGAAGCAAAGAAATAGGTGTACATTTGAGATGCCCAATGTGCATGCTTCCTCGGCCACACATCCATGGAGTCCTTTACCAACAAAAATGAAATAGAAGAGATTTCATTTCGCAGAGAAGAGCTTGTTTCATTTTGAACAGGAAAACCACAATTTACTGAGTGGGAGGCGACATCAGCATTTCCTTGCACACTTGGATGCATTTAACAGCTATGTAATTTTTCCATCCTCATGTAGACAAAAAAAGAAACGGAAATGGTCCAGTTAGTAACGGAGTACAACGGACCTAAGTTCAGTGACCACTGGGAAGCATTTCAAAGTTGGGTGAGTAAACCGTGACATAATACAAAGTTCGGTGGCCAATGAAACATTTAACTCACCACCTGAATTTTAAACTTAATCCCCTTATTTATGAAAACTAATATTTAATTTTAGAGTTCTAGGCAATTTTCCCAGAAATTAAACCTTCTTAAAAAATAACTTAAACATTTGTAGGTTAGTTATTAGTATTAGATCATGATGATTTATTTTGAAACATCAACCTTATTTAGAGGGTTGATACAAACCTTAGTTTATCATCAATACATTTGGTATGAGATTTACCCCTAACATACAGTACTAAGCTCATGTTTGGTGTAGATTAAAATCAATTTTTTAGTAAATTTTGATTAAAGTTGATGAAATGTATAATTGAAAATATGTAAAATTTGTTTTATTTAATATTGTGTAGTTCATTTTACTAAATGTTTTACCAAAAGTTGTATAAAAATGTGATATCACATTTGGTGGTCCTCTCATGTTCTAACAAAATTCACTTTCCTCTTCCTTTTAGTGATGGCAAAAAAATTCGCATTGTCCTGTCCCGATGGGTTCTCCCCGTCGATGCCTTGCCCCTAACATGAGTCGCTACCATCCCTACTTCCTTTTTCTATATATTCGTTAAATGTCTTCTTGTGTAATTAACAAATTAAAATTGAACTGAAAAATGAGACATTAAAGGTGCGCTTAGTTTACTGTTTCGGACTATTTTTCAGTTTTGCAAAATGCTAAAGGCGTTATTGGTCTGTTATTTCTAAAAATGCATTTTGAAAAACGATGTTAAATTTGCAATAGAAAATTCAAAACTCAATTTTGACAATTTTAGCATTTCTATAAAAATTCTGAAAACATTCAAATCAAAGAAAACAAACATTTAAATAAAATTTTAAAAAATATAAATATAAAATTCTAAAAAATTTAAGTTTAAATTTAAAAAATAAAAATTCTGAAAAATAAAAATTTAAATGTATGAAAAAATAAATTTTTAAAAATTATAGAACCATGCTTTACCTAAAAACTATATTTATATGAATGCATAAAAATATTATGAGTCCACATCACTAATTTTTATTTTTATTTTCTATATTTTGAACTCAATTTATTATTTATTTTTATTTTAATAATAAAATTTTATGGAATAAAATATCATAAAATAATTTTTCAAAATGTCAAATCAAACTTATTTTCTAATTTTTTGTTTTGAGAAATATTTTTTTTTCAAAAATAACAAATCAAATATGTTTTTAGTAATTTCAAAATAGACCTTTAAAACTGAAAATTAAAAATAAACTCAAAACTGAAAATTGAAACACAAACCAAATGGGCCCTCAATTGTTGAGGATAAAAGTGATGCAAATACAAATAAAATTGAAGAGTTGTCAATTGCTTAACGTTTTTATACC